CCCCTCCTCTTTCCTCCTGAAGGCTGAAGGTCTAGTGAGGCCTTTGTCCTCTCAAGCCAGCCAGGGCAGACGGGAGGAGGGAAGGCGGCACCCTTTCTGGCCTCTACTGGAGACCTGGCTTTGCTGGGGCTGAGGAGAACCCATAACAGGGCCACAGTCCCAGACACTGTCTGGCAGCTCTCGTAAAAGCTGACTGGGAGAAGGATGGGCTGGACGTGTGTGGCCAGGTTGGACGAGTAAGGGAAAGTCATCTGGCAGGACGACGGCTGCGACAGGAAGGACGGCTTGCTGGCGAAGTCCGATGGGGCCACATAGTAGGCGCAGCCCGGCAGGTACATGCTGGCTGCGCTCGGGCTGCACTCGTCAAAGTCGTTCATGGCTGCGCGGCGTGCGCGCCCGCCAGCCCCGGGCCGCTCCCCGCGCCGCCAACCTGAGCCATCGATTGCACAAGAGGCTTGGGCCAGGATCAACTAAGCAAAAATCCCCACCGGGCGCTGACGTGCAATTCATCTTGATTGATTCTGGTGGTAATTGTGTCACGTGACGCCATGGAGAGAAATGTCCTTATATCTATATCAGCGCTCGCCAACACGCCCCGGGACGGCTCTTGGCGCCAGGACGCGCGCGCGCTGGGGGCAGACCTGCCTCCCTCGACCGCCAGCTCTCCCCTGGCTCCTTCGGAGCGGGCTGCGCCGCAGGCCGGTCACCTGCGCGCTGCCGGCGGCTGCCACCGCTGGGCGCATCTGCCACCGCCCGGCCGGGTCGCCCGCCCGCGCCCGCCCGCCTGCGCCGCTTAAGTACGCGGACCGAGGCCGGCGGGGAGGAGGAGGGAGGGGGAGGAAGGAGGAGGAAGGGGGAAGGGAGAGAAGCGGCCAGCGGAGGGGGGAGCCCCAGGCCAGGGCGTAGGGGACTAGGTGTTAGGGTGTGAGGTTCCCACCCCACCCCACACACACACCCCTTCCTGCAGCCGCCCCCACCCCCGCGACGCCGCCACCCTGCCAGCCAGCTCTCTCGCCCGCCCGCCGGGAGCTTGTTGCTTCTCCTCCAAGGGGTGTGATCGCCCGCGCGGGGAGCCCTGATTTACATGTATCTCGGCCTGGCTTGTGGACCGCTTGGTTACTTGGCTCTCTCCTCTCCTGACCCCAGATTCCCGAGAGCGGGCCTCGAAAATCCCACGCCCACCCCCTCCCAGGGACTCCTGGAGCTCGGGCCTCGGAGCCCAGTTGACCCTCCTGCCCTCGCCCTCTGGGTTCCTTCTTTCCGCTCTCGGCCCTTCCCCTCTCTTTCCTTCGGCACCCTTTAGTCTTCCGTCTTTTTCACTAGCCCCTGCCTTCTCTCTCTCTCTCTCTCTTTGTCCTTTCCCACTTTCCTCAGCTCCTTCTTTCCTTCTCTGTCTCCTCAGCCTCTCCTTCATCCAAGCAGTGTGTCACAGTGGGACTATGCCAGTACCTTCTCTCCCCTGGTGCGAAAGGAGGAGGATGCTCACACTGCAGAGCCGCCCTCTGGCCCCAGCCTCCCTGGAGCTGGGCTCTCTGGTGAACAAAAGGATCTGCAGTCCGACTCTCAGGTGCCTGGCTTACTGCTCACCCCCCACCAGACACCAACCACCAGCACTGCCCCCCACCTCGCCCCACCCCCTCCGCTTGCCAACCAGGTCTGGAACCAACTCGCCTCCCATCCAACCCAGTCCTGTGGCGCACATCCCAGACCCCTCTCCCCAGGCGCTTTCGGAGGCTCTGGCCCAACCCAGTCACTGTGGCCCCCACGGCAGGCTCTTGGGCCCAGGGGGAGAGGCTCTCAGCAGCGCCAACTTCCTGGTTCGAGCCCCTGAGCGCGACCAGGCCTAGAGGCTGGCCCTTCCGTACCCCCATCCACTCGCCCCAAGGCCCCTCTGGCCTCAGCGGCCGCCCGCAATCCACTGTCCGATTCCAGGGGTCCAGGCGAGGCCTGGGATCCCGCCTCTGGGAAAACAGGAGCTTTCCAAAGTGGGAGAAAACAAATCAATTTCTCAAAAAGCAGCTTTCCACCCACAAATGCTAGCCCTGAAGGCCTGAGACTGCCCCTCTGGCTCAGGCAATCCCAGCACTGGATCTGGGCCTTAGTCCCACGCCCAGGGTCGACGGCGCTGCGCTGGGGCTAGCTCTGTCCCTGGTCCAGGTCGCCGCAGTGCGGGCGGTGTGCACTCTGCCCACCCAGCTGCCGGAGAGAGAGAAGGAGGATGGTGGGAGCTCGTATCTATTTTCTAGCAGATATTCCCTCTTCCTCTCTCTCTTCCCTCCCTTTTCCCTCCCTCGCCCTCTCCACTCCCTCTCCCTCCTGCTTCCCCCTCAGCCCACTGCGCAAACAGGTCTGCAGCGGCGACTGAAGGCACCCACCAAACCTCCCCCACCTAAAGCAGTGCATCTGTGGGTGCCCCGCTCCCTGCAGCTGGCACCAGACTCTAGCTTACCCCCTCCTCCCCAGCCGGAACCCACCGCACACGGATACGTCTCCCCATCTCCAGTCACCGACTAAGCCTCTTCCCTTCGGGCTGGCGGTCGACGCCCCGGGATCTCGCTCCTAAAATGGCTCCCCGGACACTGCACGCTGACCCTGCGAGCGCTTTGGACCCAGGGCAGCGGCGGCAGGGCCAGCAGGAAGGGGCTTTCTGGGGCCGGGGTGCACACATTGCTGGCACCCTCTCTCTGTTCACGGCGGTAAGGGACAGGGCGTATGCAGTCCGCCGCCCCCAAAGCGGAGCCCGCCGACTGCAAGGGGGGAAATAGGAAGGACGAACCATTCAAGTTCAACGACATGGCGACGGCGGAGACCGCGGGAGCTGTATTTTGGCGACGGAGGGTGCGCCATCTGCAGCCGCGCGTGGGCGTAGAACGAAGGCGACAGTGAGCCCCTTTCCGTGGGTTAGCGGGGACCCTGGCCTCCTCCCTGCACCCCCCCAACCCCGCACAAACCAGGGCGTTCGTTCCCGCGCTGCGGGCGTCGCCCTGAAGCCCCAGCTCTCTCTTTGGTCTTCCACCCTCTCTCCCAACCCCAGGGAGAATCGCAGCCTCTGCACCCGCGCCGCCCCCTCCACATCCTACCGTGAAGAGCCGAACGCTGTGGCCTTGTCCTCCGCCTGCGTGGCCCCACCCGAAACGCAGGGCACGCACCCGCACTCGGCCCTCTGGGTGCAGCCAGCCGCTCGGCGACTGGACGCTTTCCGCGCAGCTCTAGGACGCGATGCGGTATTTTCGAGCCACCCAAGATAAGACACTAACTTGACCTTAACTTTGTCAGGGCGCCCCTAGTATCTGGAGAACGTGAACAGACACTGTCTGGCAGCTCTCGTAAAAGCTGACTGGGAGAAGGATTCTGAGTCATTTCATTTATTGCCACTACAGTTCTGCAAGGAAGCTTTTCCTCTCTGCCAAACTTTAATTATTTATGCTCTTTTAAGAAACGAAAGAAGAGGAAGGGGGGAGGGCACCCAGAGCCAGACCCTTCCCTGTAGACCCTTCGGAATGGGTTCCTCAAGCGAAGCGACAAACCAGGGGAGATCACCTTTGTCCACGGGCGGTTTGGACAGCGCCCTCCCCAGCTTTGAAGGGGGGTTGGTGGTGGACGCAGCTGGGAGAGGCGGGGTGGGGGGACACCCCCACGTAAGCAGACATGAATATTTACAACGGTTCCGGATGGATTTCTCCTGAGTCCACAGGCCTCCTGGAAGCCTCCCCAACTCTCCTCCCTGGTGGGGGTAGGGGAGCCCCTAGACCTTAAAAAAACCCGTCAGCTCTCTGAACTCTCAACCGATTTAATGCCAGACAAGAGTCATTTCCCCCTCCCATCTTTTCCCAAAGGTTGTTTTCTTATCCAACAATCCCGCGTGGATTGCGGCGTTGGAGAACGCTGTGGCCTTTGTGCTGGGAAAAGTTGAGCGCTCAGATTCCCGCAGTATTTCTCGCCAGTGTTTTTTTAGGACGAATGCCTCAGTGGGTCCAAATCTCTCGTCGGGGACCTTGGCTAGCAGAGGAAAGAGGACGTCGCTCTCTTTGGACCTGTGACCTGTGCGGGTCAGGGAAGGAGAACGATTTGGAAAATATTCCTGAGCCCCGGGCGAGCAGACAGACCAGTTTGGACATTTAGAATAATTTGATTCTCAGGGGTGGTGGTGGTGAGGGCCATGGCTATCTCTACCCCTATGCCACCACCACCCCCAGACTCTGGGAAAAGAACGCAGCGCTTTAATGGAATATTGGGGAGAGAAAAAGGCCTCGGAGTGTGTTTTAGGGCCTGCGCCTGAATAAATCTGGGTTCTTAGCCCCTTCCGCAGCCCTTGGACTGAGTTCCAGTGCGGCCTGTCTTTGTTCCGTGGTTGTCCAGAAGGCAATCCAGCCGTGAAGACACAGATTGCAAAGTACCACCTTCTAGATGCACATGCCCAGGTGCGGAAGCCTGGAACCCAGAGGGTCCCTGCAGCCTCCTGCTTCTTGCTCCCCGCCCATTGTATATCGGTATGTAATGACAAGATTTAAAGGCACGATGAAAATATATTTTAAAATTACTCATCAAATTCTCTCCAGAAAAGGGGAATTGGAACGTGGAGCACTGGGTTTCAGAGATGTCGCCATTGTACTCCTCTTGATAGCACCAGGCTTCTCCGACTTCCTTTTAGGAGCCAGTGGGAGAGTTGCAAGGGGGGCAGACCGACCAATGAGGCCCCTGGCCCCCAGGGGTGCAGAGCCCATCATCATTTCCAAGGAAGCAGCATGGTGTGCTGGGCCCAGTGCCAGAATGGATGATTTCCACAGGACTACCACCTCAAAATTCAGTGGGGAGAGAGGTTTGGTTTTGCCTGTCTGAGGAACTTAGAATTGTAGCAGTCACCCTCAGGCAACAATGATCGAGTAGTTTGGGAATTTAAGGCCAAGTGCAGAAGCCCAGTGTCCTCATAGGGTGAGAGGCTTAGTCCTTTACACCTGCTGGTGCCACCCCATCCCCACTTTGGATGTTTCCTATGCATTTTGCTCCTAGGCTTTTATACACCATTTCCTGATGGCCTCGGAGGCCATTTTCTTCTTGAAGGAACAGTCAGCCTCTCCCACCCCTCTTCACTGAAACATCAAGCAGAAAATAAAAAGGAATTCGGTGTCCTGAAACACATTAGGAGGGACTGGGAAGCTGTTTGAACATCGACAGCAGCTCCCTCACAGAGTAACTGGACACCGGGTGTTTATTTCTGATGAAAATATTTCTAGCTGTCTGCTATACACAGGTGATTGTTGTTGTTTTAAATCAAAACAAAAATAAAACATGCACAAGAACAACTAGAGAACGGAGAAATGCAATTAAACAGTCCCCTGAAGTCAGTGGGCTGGGGCTCATGGGTCCCTGTGAGACAATCTCAGTTTGCTGCTCTGGGTGTGGTGAGGTGGGGGCCCAGGAATAGAAACCATTAGACTTTGGGAAGGAATCCGGAATCCTCGGGCTTTTGTGAGGCTCTAGTTGGGGGTTGGGGGTGCTGTTTTGCAGAAGGGGAAGGAGATGAAACAGGGACAGTGGCCAGACCCTGAGAACCCCTTGGTGTGGGAAACACCGCAGCACACCCAGAACAAACCTTGCTGCCAGCCTCCACAGGGTCAGCCTGACAGGGTCTGAGGCAAGTAGGCTCTGCAGAGGTCAAGCTTTCTTTAGCCTTGGAGAGGGGAGGTGGCCTGGCCTCTGGTAGAGGTGGTTAACTGGTGGTTGAGAAGGTTGGGGGACATGGGAACTTCTGGTCCTCTGCCTGGTCAAGAACAGCCAGGAGAGGGCTTTGACTCTGAGGGGCCTCCTCTCTGCTTCTTGAATAGTCAAGCTCTCCCATCTGTCCCAGTGGTGAGATATTAAGGTAATTCCCGAAAGTTATGTCCACACCTCTCCCCAGTGGGCCTGGAAAGCCATATTTAGAGTCAGAGTGGAAGACCCCTCCTCCCTCTCAGTCCCACTTCCTCCTCCATCTCTTCCCCTCCTCCCTGTGTGGTTGGGCCTCCTGGCAGCTGCCCTCACCTTTGACCGGGGCAGTGCTGCTAGCCAGGGTCCAGTTACAGGGAGCAGAGGCTAGCCTGGGCACCGGTGGGTAGAATAAGGTTTTGTCAGACATGTCTAGAGATTACCTGCTCCCTTGTTGGTGTCCCCCCCCCCCAGGGATGAAGTCCCCAGCCACTCCACCTAGCTGGCAGGGGTCAGACCAGCCTGCCTGTGGAGGTAACTACGACTTTGTCTGGCCACTCCTCCCCTCCTCTTTCCTCCTGAAGGCTGAAGGTCTAGTGAGGCCTTTGTCCTCTCAAGCCAGCCAGGGCAGACGGGAGGAGGGAAGGCGGCACCCTTTCTGGCCTCTACTGGAGACCTGGCTTTGCTGGGGCTGAGGAGAACCCATAACAGGGCCACAGTCCTTTCTACTTGGTCTGGAAGCAGGCCCCATTCCCTTCCACTTTTGAGCCCTAGATAGGTACCTGCGAAAAGCAAAACAGGCTGCAAATGGGAGGAAGGGAGACTAGAGCAGTCTAAACCTAGAAAAAGCCAAGTACAAGGTACAGAGCATGAACCCCAGAGCACCCCCCACCCCACCCACTGCTCAAAGCCAGTACAGATGACCACTGGTTCCCATGCAGAACCTCAAGGTCAAGGTTGAGCTTTTACTCCTGACCGGCTCTTGGTCACCTCTCAGCTAGAGGGAAAAGAGAGGAGACCCCGATGATGGCCGCTGGCCTGGAGACCTTTCCTCTAAATAGTGGTGCAGCCCCAGCAGAGAAAGAGCCGCGGAAAAGCCCCTCGCTGTCTCCTTCCCGCACCGGGCCTGCGGCCCGAGTGGAGTGTCAGGACTGCAGGGCGACTAGTAGAGCGCCAGCGCCTGCTCGCGCAGCACCACGCGCTTCTTCTTCATCCGCCGATTTTGGAACCAGATTTTGACCTGCTGGTCACTGAGGTTCAGCCTGTTGGACAACTCTTTGCGCTTCTGCCGGTTGATGAACTCGTTGAGGAGGAATTCATTCTCCAGCTCGGCGATCTGCTGCTTGGTGTAGGGCTTCCGCTTCTTGCGGGCCCTCCCCGGGGCCGCCCCCCACAGCAGGCCTGCAACACAGCCCCCAGAGCGCGCGTCAGGCTGGCGCTCTCCAGGCTGCCTGCCTACCCCCCACCCCCACCCCCGCCCAGGCTCCATCCCTCACGCGCTCTACCCCGACTCCCACCTCCCTGCCCGGCCCAGGGAACGTGGCCACCATTTACCGTCGGACAGCGAAGGTCTCAGGCAAGAGGCGACGCCGGCCGCCTGCACTGTCATGTTCAAGTTGAGCGGACCCTTGGCGTCATCCTTGAAACTGGAGGCGTCGCAGGGGCTCCCCTCTAGCAAGGCCGCAGAGCCTGCCGCTGTGCGGCCCACACACGCGTAGTCGTACTTTGCCGCTTTGAGGGCAGCGACCCCGGAGGTCAGACTAGACTCCGGGATGACGGGCGGCCGCCCCCGGCCTCGGTCCTCAGGCCCAGTGGCCGCATCAGGCATATAGTACTTGGCCTGCTCTTCCGGTCCGTCCTTGGCGCCCAGGGGCTGGAGGCTCAGGGGCCCGGAGCCGGTCAAGTAAGGCTGTGAGAAGCCGCCGAAGGCCGTGGCGCTGGCGGGCTGCGTGGGGGCGCAGGAGGCGGGCGCGGGGGTCCAGGGCAGTGCGCCGCGCGGGTAGGAGATGGGGGGAAGCGCTGCCAACTGGCCGCCATTGGGCCGCAGGTTGGAGAAGTAGAAGGAGTCTGGCGACTGCAGATTCAGAAGCGAACCCACATAGCCCGCTCTGTAGAGACTGCGCTCACACATCTCCAACAAAGGCTTCGGCTACGCTCGCAGCAGTATTTAGTTACAACCGGGAATAAGAGGACAGGCTCAGACGATTGGACAAAACTTTGCTTGCAGGTTCTTCAAAGCCGGTCATTTCAGCACCGCCTACATCCCCCGACCCGTTTCCCCCCCTTCAGGGTATTATGATAACACCCGCAATATTCGAGAGCGCACGGCGAGACTGGCCAGCAGAGTCAGAGCTCGCTGAGCGAAGGCTAAGACTTCTGGGCCGGCCTCAAGAGCTGGGAGTACCGGGCGGAGGGCGCCTTTGCTCAGCTGTCCCGTGGGACCCTTCGGGGTCGTGATTGGCTTTGCGCTCCCATTTCCCGCGGGCCCCGGGGCCCCCCGGCTAGTTTCCTGTGCCTTTACGTTGTGGCCAATGCCTTTTCCCAGTAATGCATGCCCCTCAGGCTTCTCCTGGACGGCCCCAGCCCTATCTTGAGCAATGTAATTTCTAACTCCATCCCCACCTTCCATAGACGCTCCCTGGAGTGACGCCGGCAAGGGGAGTTAGCAGCGAAATCCAGCGCAAGGGAGGCTTGTTGAAAGCAGAGAAAGGGCGCGCCAACTGGGCCCAAACTTTGCACCCAGGAAGGGAGGCTTGACGACACTCGGGCGTGCATCCTCATGGCGGGGGCCTTTACTCCTAGGGTAGTCGCTGTCCAGGTCCGTGGAGAATGCTGGTCAGGGGGCTGGGCAACTCGATTTGCCAGCAGTGATCAAAGGCACATTTCTTATAGCTGCAGGGAATCACCTTGAAGACTACCCCCTGCAGAACCGAACTCCAAGGTGTCCATCCGACCGGAGGCGGGCAGAGCAAGGCAGGACGAATTCCCTCCAGGCGATGGTAAGGGCGGAAGAGCTGGGGCGCACCGGGGCAGTTGGCTAGCAGCATTCTTGCATCCTGGACCTCTAGAGGTGCGGACCACTGGCAGGTTCGCTGATCCTGGGAATAGAGAGGCGGGCGGAACAGCGCTCTCTTCCGGGGCAACCGCTGGAAGCGACGCGCGCATCCCTAGCCGCAGGCCGCCGGGGCGGGTCTGGCCCTAGGGCTGGGGGGGCCCTCCCCTCCAGCCCCCAGACCTCCAGCGACCCTGTGACAGGCGCCCGCCCCAGCCGGCAGCCCGCCCAGCGGCTCCCAAGCCAAGCTGGAATTGGTTACAGCCGCCAGCTCAGCACAGACCACACAGGCGCCGCCGGAGGGCAAGGCTGACCACCGCGCAGAGACTTTATTGTGTGAGTTATGGCGACCAATTGGTCGGCTCTGGGGAACGCAATCGACTTCTTCCTCCCGCTCTAGGGCAGAGGGAGGGGGAGTGGGGTGGGCAAGGCTGGGACTCTGGAAGGCTCCCCACTCATTTCCTTAAGAGCTCAATTTAGAGATAAGCTCCGGTTCAGAGGGCCTTGCACAGGGTAGTAGGCACAAGCTGCCATCCAGTACTCTGGGACTTCGAGGACTCAGGTCCCAGGTTCTGACACCGTTTTTTGCGGGGAGCCCTCCCTGTTCTCAAGGTACTGTAGCCTCATCAACCGCTAGAGCTCCATTTGTAACCGGCTTGCTGTCTCGGTTCGTGCAGCTCAGAGCACACTGGTTCTCAGCCTCTCCAAGTCTAGGAGAGTCTACTGGGACCCTGGAGCAGCCTCACAGACGCAATTGGCCTCCTGGACCTAAAGACGGAAAGGAACTAAATGAGAGAAAAGACCAGAACAGCTATCCTGCCTCCATAGCTTCTTAGCCTCAAACAGACCCCAGCCAGCCCGTACTATCGCCTGGACTTATGACTTTCGAGGTCCCCCAGGCAAGGTCGGATGGTTGGAGCGGGGCGCAGGGGACTTTCAGACAGCGGGGAGGGGCCTTGGAAGTCTTGACTGAGGAGAAAAGGAAAGAGAAATTGGACGCGGAGCTAAAAGGCGAGCTCCGTCAATACCGCCGACTGCCCAGGAGATGGCGAGCGCGCTCCACGCCTGGCAGGCGCCGCCACACGGTCAAGATCAACAGTGAAGGGCGGCGCAGCCAGCCTGGGGTCGCCTACCCCCGCGCTGTCACGGACCGCTGCCAGGCGCGCCAGAGAGGCTCAGAAAGCCGGAGATCGTGACCGCAAAACTGACGCGGGACGCGGTACCAAAGGAACCCAGCGGACTGCCGAGGTCGGGCGAGCGTCGCTCCTGCCCCATTGTTTGGATGCGGGTCCCACCGCCAACGCCACTTTCAGCTCTTGCATCGCTGGTACGGCGCAGGCCTCAGTCCCCCCACGGGCGGTGCACAAAACCTGCCGGGCCTCTGAGATGTTCCTCCCGCCGCCGATGGATCTGAACCCGAAGGCCAGGCTCAGTTCCCTCCCGCTCCGGGGCACCCCTGGAAGTCTCCCTTCCAGCTCCCAGCTGCTCACCCGGAATTTGCTCTCCGCAATCCGGAATTTAAAAAGAAACCATATAACAGCGAAATCTTCAGCTGTTACTGATTATTTAGCCTTTCATTCAAATTTCACCGGAGAGCTTTTGAGCGCCGTTTTAATCGCCAGCAAACCTCCCCATTTCTCTAAAGCGGAGGGAATCTGATGCACACACCACAGATGAAAGGAAAGCCCTTAGGCAACCCCTCCCCCTAAGAAATATACCTGGAAATGGAGTGCCC